GGACACAATGAGCTAGGAGCTATATCTTCTCATTATCAAATGAGGCGCAAATGTGACTCAGCCTCGAGTCATCCTTTCCTGTCAAATCCTGATACCTCCGTCCAATTTAGAGTGATTCAGGACACTTTATTTCAATCTCCATGTCACAGTGACTCTTGGTTTGGGTATTAAATTCTCTGAGCAATTTTTCAGTTTTACAAACATTTGTGTCACTTAACCTCATGGACTCTGTTTGCTTGTTTGAATAAGCACAGGGAATATCACTGGCCATATTTCATGGCACCAACCTTATTAGCGACAGTTTAACGTTGTATTATTTGGGGACAGCGCCTGTGTAGCAATGGACCAGTCAAGCAGAAGAGGCTGAGAAAAGACCTCCAATACCATGAGTGGTTCCAAAGAATGGTGATTGGGTTTAATCAGCATAAGCATTCTGGGGTCAACAGTCTTTGCAACTGGGTTGTAGATGGATCCCCAAAGGGTCCTATGCCTCAGAAGTTATAGGAAATGGATGTGGCACAGAAGCACAAAGGCAGGATGGTATGATGCAACTTTGAATCTTATCAGTTCTGCTGCAAATTAATCAAATTCATACATAGTTCTTTCTCTATCTCTGCCTCAATTTCTGTTTGCCTCTTTGTCTCTCCTCATAACTCGGTATCTGTCTTTATCTCCCTCTCACTGTTCTGTGGCTTTGTGACAATGTCTTCTGATTCTCTAACTCCCAAATGCAGAGTTCAGGAACAAGCAGAGTTGGATTTTCATAGAGCCCTCCTCTTACCAGTCTCTGAGTGTGAGTTTCCTCCTCTTTAAAATGTTAACAGTAATACTGATCAAACTGAGATGCCACTGAGATGCAGCGAAACAGTACTACCTACATAGAATTCAATTCCTGACCAATAACAACCGCTCAGTAAATGTTCATTGTTTCTCCTAGCTCCACTGACCCCTCCAATCCAATGGCTGGCTTCTTCTGTGGCCTGCCCTCAGCCCACTTTCTGATCAGCCAATGAAGCCATGACTGGATAGAACCATTTGTCAACCAATTGGTCTCCTTCCAGCAGTTTCATATGGCCTCTTGCTGTAAATCACTCTGGGAAAATAAATGTCCTCAATCCATTAGTGCTTTTCCACCACGAGACAATCTGAGCCACAAACAAGACAAGTCTTGTTAATGGCCACTTAAATACATTCCTGAAGCCCAAACTGGAGACCCTCAGCCAATCTCAAGTCCTACCAGCCCCCGTGTAAGAGAAAACTTGCTCCTCTGTGACCAGCTTACAGCAACAAGGGTACAGGCCTGACCCTTCTCAGTTAGGGGAGGACCCCAACTCTCCTGGTTTGCTTAGGACAGCTCCAGTTTGCTGCTGCTATTCCAGAGTAATGGGCAGCGCCCTTTTCACATTAAAAAGAGTTCCAGTCTAATGACAGGACTATATAGGCTACCTATGGCAACCAAGAACAATAGTTAAGATAGTAGCATCTGTCATTAACTGACCACTTTCTATGTGCCTTGCATCCTCAGAAAGGTCTTATATGATGTACCTCATTAGAAAGGAGACACTATTAATTATCTCCATTTTAGAGCAGGAAACTAAATTAAGAGGAATGAGACAACACTGCCAGTGTCAACTAGCAAGCATGATTGTCCCTTCCAGAGGTGGTGCACCTACTCCATCCTCTCCTCATTCCCTTTGAATGCTGGTTGCCACCTGATTCCCTGGAGAACTGCACCCAGGCAGACAGAAACATCTCTGCTAGAGAGAGCCACGCCTACCTTGAGAAGCAGCCCATGCCATGAAATGCTTCCCCTGCCTCTTGCTTCAGGAAGGGACCGATCATGTCTGTGCAGGGTACAGTGGGAGCTGCTGAGGCCACATCTTGCTTAGCTCTCCTCTGCCCTAACCTACCTCTCTTATTCCCACGGTCCTGAAAGCATTCCTGCAACAGACTGCTTGGAAAAGGATCCCTGTGTCAGGCGCTGCCTGCAAAAGCCAGATCTGTGACATCCAGTTAGCAAGGGGCAGAGCTGGGACCCTTGTCTGCAAGTCTGACACCTAGCAGAAGTAACGCAATATTGCCTACAGAGACATGGCCACCGAAGGCACACAGTTAGGAAGAAACAAGGCTAATCTTATACTCAGGCCCCTCTTGCTTCTCCCACTTGGCCACTCAAACCTCTCGCTGTATAAGCTGTTCAATGAATAACTGGTAAAGTGAGTCTCACCGAGGTGATGTTCTTTGCTGCCCTTCCCACCGCTACTCCAAGCAGTGGTTCTTTTTATGCTGCATTTAATCAAACGCTTCTATTTTCCAGAGAAAGCTATTTTACTCTGGGAAGAGCCAAAAAAGTTCCCTTAAGCCATACATAAAAAGAGCAAAGGATCTATATTATTGAAGAACGAAAGAAAAACCATGCATGTCAAAAAGAGGAGAATTATATTTCTTAGGGCTTTCTGACCAAGGGAAACAAAATGGAAAGAAAAGAAAACAGCAGAGCTTTAAAGAGAAGCAGGCTCAAATCCTTGCTCTATGATTTGTGTGAAATTTCTGGTAAATAGTGTCCTCAGGCCTCAATTTGTTCTCCTGTATTTCAGGAAAAATTTCTAGCTCATCAACTCTTGAACAAGAGGGTAAGTGAAATAAAATAGGTACTGCTTCCTGCCTCTTCTCTTTCATTTCCACAAAATTTATACAGTAATCAAGTTGGGCCCTCATCCTAAGGCTAATACAGATGTAGTATGCTTTGGTTTCCTATAAAATGCATATCCTATTTAATGATAAAAGGCTTCCATTAAAAATAAAGATGAGACCAAAGGCAGACCTTCATCCACGAGTCCATCCGTTGACTCATAAAAATATAGGATGAGTCATCCTGGATCTCAAGGCTAAAATTTAACAATCAATGAACATCTTTGGCCAACCAATCCCAGCCCAATGGAGGATGAAGGGCCCAGTGGTCCATCTCACACACTAGTCCAATCCTCCCTTGAAAAACAGATTAACTGTCTGCAGCTTTGCAAAAGGAAAATCAATTAAGATTCTTTGCAGTTCTGTATCTCATGACTGCATGACTTTCTAATCAAACAGGATGGGGGGACACATAGTGATTTTACGTGTGGGTGTGTATGTTTGCATAAGCATGTGCACCCTTCCAATGAAGCTGAGTTGTGTGTCTGACTTTGAAAATAAATCTCCTGGCCTTCATCTTGACAGTTATTATTTCAAACCGCTTCAGTTCCTATAAGCCTTTATGCAGTTACTGTAGCAATAAGGCTACTGAATGCACAGGTTGGAGAATACAAGCTGATTTGCACTGCAAAAGAGACTCTTTTCTTTAAAAAAAAAAAAAATAGTAGCTACCACATTTTCTTCTCTGAATATAGACATAAGAATCCTAGAACCCAATCCTCGATTTGGAAGATGGATCACAAATTATATACATGCATATTAATGAATGCATATACTATTCTTTGATGGTTTTTTTAAGGAAACCATCAGTTACAGTGCATGGTTTTAATTGCACTAGACAGAACTTCTTCTACCCGAAAGAGAAATGACTCAACAATCCCTTCCAAGCTCTTTTCCCAATCTATTCCCACAGCAGTAACTTATTCAGGATATCCCATGCCAAGCACTGTGCTAGGCATTGGGGTTGATGGATGAAATGGGCAGACACTCTGCCTTCCAGGTTCAAGCACTTTGGTTTAGTAAGAGTTAAGAAGACTTGTACAAAATTCTTCAGTTTGCAAAAGCCTGAGTTCCCCCGGAAAGACCTCAGAGTGGTGTTTCGAGCCTAACATGACCAGCTGTGAATAGGAGGGGTGAACCCAAGATGGGTGCCTATCATTCCCACCAGTGTCCCAGAGGACCTTGCCAATGAATCCCACATCTGCTCTTAAAGTGGGAAAGGTAGGGACCTCCACAGCCATTTTCTTGCCTCTAGATTAGGTCCCCATGCTGGGTTTCCCATCTAACCTAAGAAACTGAGAGTTGGCTGCTCCTGCTCTAGGGAGCAGTGTGTTGGTTTTTGAAAAACAAATGAGAAGGGGCTGGACTCATCCCTCTGTGGAAACAGCCAACTGTCCTCATGAGCTTCCCAGGTTGCAGGAGAGTTTGGGGTCCTACAAGCTTCTCCTGGTCAGCCTGCCCCCAGCACGTGGGGGCAATGATCCCGTGGTCTACACCCAGGGAGAGGCTTGCATTTCAAGAAATTCCACTGGGCGTGGGTCTGGAGAAGCTTCCCAGGGGGAATGGAGTTAAGAGCCCTGGGCTGCTCCTGAGACGGAAGCAGGAGTCCAGGGGACAGGGATCAGTGTTGCCACCTTCACCTTGAGAAACAGAGAGTGTAGGAGGAGAAGGGAGGAGGAGAGGGATGGGTTCAGATCCCCCCACTTCCAGTTCCTTTCCCCATACCAGGCTCCAGTGAGGGACGTGTACAGGAGGGTGGCCCCGCTTCGCACCCCGTCCCCCAGCCCACCAGCACAGCAGCGTGGAAGTGAAAAAGACCAAGTATCAAATCCCCACCAAGCCAGTTAGTGGCAACTGAGTGATCCTGGACGAATCACTCACTCTCTGAACAGAGGTTTCCTCACCTGTAACGGTGCATAAACATGACCCTAACTGGGTCCCAGGAAGTAGGAAATAAGACCTCATACGTAAAACTCCGCCATCGGCGGCTGGCACACAGTCAGCCTACAGCAATCCATATGTTTAGCCGCGTTAAGCAGCACAGCCCCTGGACCAGCTTCTGAGCCGTTCTCCGGGATGGAGAACTCCAGAAAGCCCAGCGCGTCAGGCGCCACCATCCACCGGTCACCCCCACGGGCTTGGGGAGGGCGAGGGCCACCTCTGAGATCCTCCCCAGGCGGCCAGCCCTCGGGGGCGGACTCGGTGGAGACCCCCTCCCGGGCAGCGTCCCGGCCGCCGAGTCCCTCCCATCCCTTCCCGGAGCGCAGAGCGCAAAGACAGAGAAAGCGAGAAAGGCGCGGATACTGGACCAGGCTTTGACGCGGATCTTGAGCTCGCCGTCCTGCGGCTCGGGCATGGCCCTCCGGGAGAGCCGCAGCTTGTTGAGCCCCCCGAAGCCGGCCAGCACCACGGCGCGCATCTCCTGGGCATCCCCGAGGCGGTGCGAGCCGTCGCCGCCGCCGCCCTCCGCGGGCTCCTTGCTCGCCTCCTTCTCGATCATCTGCTCCGTCTCCTCCGCCTTCTCCACGCCTTCCTTGGCCATGGCGCGCGGGGCCGCGGGGCGCACGGGCTGCGGCGGGCGGCGGGGCGCGGAGGGCGCGGGGCGCGGGTGCTCTCCGCGGGCTCCTCCTGTTGAATGCGGGGCGCAATGGCTGCAGCCGGGGCGAGCGGCGCCGCGGTCCTCGGCCCCCGCCGTAATCCGCGCAGGAGCCGCGCCCAGCCCGCCCCGCCCCCGCGCCCGCGACTCCCCGCCCCGGCCCAAACCCGGTCTCGGCTCTGGTTTCCGAACCAGTCTCCAAACAGGGTGCCGAGCGTGGCCCTAAAGCTGGATTCGCCCAACACTTGCGACTGAAACACGCGTGGAGCGGCCGCCTCGGCCTCCCCACTCCAGGATGGGGCGCAGTACTTGGGTAAATACGGCTCGGGCTCGGGTGCCTGGAAATGGACAGAGATGAATGTCTAGGCCTGGAGGATGCCTTCACCAGACGAGGTCGCCTGCCCTCTTCCCTCGGATCTGCGGGGCCGGCAGGACAGCAGGAAGGCTGGGTTACTTCCCAGATCGCGGGTTCTGCGTAGAAGAGCGGAAGGCGGGAGAAGCGCGAAAGTAGAGACCCCCAATAGTCCAATTCAGAATCTCCTCCCTCTGGACTCCGGGGTCCCAAGGATGCTCTTGCTGGGCATCTTCAGGGGCTGCCTTGGGATGACTGGTTGTCAGCATTGGGCCAGTAAAGACGCTCCAGAAAACAATTCTGTGTCCAAACGGTATATACCCTTGTTCCAGTTCCCCAAAACTGACAGATACAAAGGGCTCCCCAGCAGGCTCCTGCACACACAGAGTAGTAACTGGCGTTTTGAGTTTTGTTTTGTTTTGTTGATGTTGGTATTTTTGAGAAAGGGACTCATAGAAAAACTTGTATATTCTTAGACTATAAGCCACGAAAGAGATGGGTGGGGTGGTTTGGCTTGTGACAGTTTAAGGAAAGAGATGTTCCAGTGAGAAATAGTAGGAATATATGCTAGTTGCTGGGCAGTCGCTAAGCTTGGGATCTTGGGACGCTCACGCACCTGGATCCCTCATCCTTAAAACGGGCACACTAATTTTGTTATCTGCATGTGAGTGGATATGATTTCAGTGATACTTGGTTTTTACCTATGAGGAGATGAATCACAGCGGGAGGAAAAGAGGAAGGGTCTGTAAAATCTCAGGTCAGTTTGTCTTTTATGTGCTTATTTGATATTTGTTTCCTTCGCCCAGCTGTAAATGTCACATGGGCAAGAGCTAGCTGCTCTGCCTGTGCCTGGGGTGATCTCCCAGGGGCTTAGCGCATGAGTGATATCTAGTACATTATGCTCAGAAAGTGCTTCCTGAGTGAACCATTGAGGCCATAAGCACAGATGTCTCTGTGGGAGCCCAGAGGAAGGACCTGTTGACTTGTCCTGGGTGTGGGGGAAGTCCTCAGGGAGAAGGGGACATTTGTGCCTCATCTTGAAAGGCAAGGCAGGATCTGCAGGCAGAGATGGCCACAAGCACCCTAAACCACACAGAACATTGACAGGTGACAGTGGTACCTGTGAGAAGAATCTGCTTTGTCCTGGGGACAGATCCTGGGCGGTGCTCAGCAGTCCCTGAAGGGGAACCAGGTTTGTAGGTTCGCTTGTACCGTGGTATAAAATTTAAGACGCAATCAGGAAGCAAATGGTCACTGCTAAGGCCTTAAAAAACGAAGCAAGGGGCGAGGGTTGCAGGAGCTGAATGTTCCTATAATTGTGGCAGTAAATGGGTGATGGATTGGCTGGTGAGTTACTGGATGTATGCAGATGAGACTGGGGCAAGGTGGACTGAAGGAGGCTGAACTTCGTTAGTGAACTGAACATTTTATTGTGAACCCAACTTTCCGAAGCACAAAGCCTGGGTACACTGTGAGAGACAATGCTTAGGCTGGATTCTCTCCTGAACAAGAACCTGACTGCCTGTGGTTTATTTTGGAGGTCATTCCAGGGAAGCTTGATTGAGAAGCAGAAAATGAGGTGGAGAAATGATAGAATCCACCACAGAATGTGTTTAACAAGCAGCTTGCCGGAGTGCATAGATGGGGCTCACGCCACAGGGAACTTTTGAGAGACAGTGTAGAGTTAAGTCTTACAGTTGTCTTACCCAAGGGGTAATGAAGTAGATACTTAGTCAGTGCATTTGAGACACAATTGGCCAAGAGCTGTTCCTGGAAGTGTGAACCCCCTGTTATTTCCATCTTTCTCCAACTACTTGGGCAGAGGGAATCCCTGGGCAGAGTGAGTGTTCTGCACAGGAAGCTGCCATCTGTACACGAGGTGAGTTCCACGGCGACATGGCACTGATAACATCTGCAATGCATGTTACTATCTGGGGTGTGTCTACTGTCCTAGACACATAGTATGTTGCGTAATTTGATCTCAGGTTAGCTTCGTTAGATAAGAAACACTATTTCCTCCTTACGGAGAGGAAACTGAGCCTTTATACTGTGGGTCGTCATGCTCAAGGGATGTTGGTTGTGGAGAGATGAGGTACAAAACAGACTCCATTCAGACTTGTCACATTTCCCCATGCATGCTGATGGGGATGGGCAAACTAGTTCTGCCTCTGACGGTGGACTTTGAGGGTTGTCATCTGCTCTTAGCTTTCTAAATGCCTCTGTTCTATCAAGTCTCCATGCCTCAGTTCTGGGTGTCTTCCGTCAGCATTAGTAAAATCTACTTCGCAGTCGGCAAGTGGCATATTTAAGAGAAAATGTTTGTCTTATATGTGTGTTAAAGGGAACATAATTATTCCCTCCAAGGGAATCTTCCGGCTGTTTACAAACCTCAAATTATAAATGGAAGGCAGCTGATTATCACAGCAACCCACAGGGAACACAGCCCTGTCAGAGCTGCCAGGGAAGACTTCTGTCCTTTGAGTCCCACATAATACTGCTGTTAAGTATTCCCAACTCTGCTCCTCTCCAGTGGAAAGTGGAAAGAGCCACGCTGTACGACACATCTCCAGATAAACTCAGCAAATTAATTTTGATTATAAAATTGGTTCCTTGGGCACAGAGCCTCGGTGGGGAAACATCTGACATTGTAGGGTGATGTCAAACAGCGGCCACTAACGGTGAAATGTAGAATTATAGCGTGTGTGTATATGTGTGTGTGTGTGTGTGTGTGTGTGTGTCTGTGTGTGTGTGTGTGTGTCTGTGTGTGTGTCTGTGTGTCTGTGTGTGTGTAAGAGCCGGGGGGGGTCGGAGTGTAGAAAGGTAAATTTAGGGACACTTCACATGGAATGTCACACGACAGAATGAGGTCTTTGAGTAAGATGATAAGGAAAATAGTCTGATTTTCTAAACAATTTGGAATTCTAAACAATTCAGGAATTCTTTAGAGAAAATATTCCCTCTCTGAATGTCAAGGCCTTCAACAATATCTTTTAGTAGTATACTATATATCCTTTCACTAGTATACCATTGTACTATCTTTAATTATTTGTTATACAAACATCACAATATTTAACCTTTAAAATAACCTAGTGTCATAGAAACTATTATCCCTATTTTTAAATGGAGAAAATTTAATATAAACCGAGTAGCTTTCTAAAGATCACCTAATTAGTAAACTGGAATTTGAAATGGGAACTGTTTGAATCTGACATGTGAATCCTTAGCCATTTTACTATAGTGTCTAAGGTTTTATATTTTGCTCTTTCACTCATAAAAATGTCATATAGTAGACCAAGAAGGAGGCAAATTTAGAAGGTCAACAATGAAAAAAGGTAAAATATTCTGCTCCAAAAATATCTTAGTAAAATCCATGAGCTTATATTAAAAATGTGTGCCATGGATTTCTAATAATTTACACTGACGACATTTAAAAGGTGATGGAACACAATCATCATGGACATTACATTATTCTTCAGAGAAGAACTGGAGAGATGTGAAGGCAGTGGGTTAAATTTCCTAGCTCTGTCTCACAGCACCAATCCTAGACAAAAATCTCCACTAGCATCACAGTGAGCGTAGTGATCTGATTCATCTTTTAAGTGCTGGCCTTGTGTTATTGTTTAGTACTGGGGATAAAATGGTGAATAAGGCAAATGCATTCTCATTCCTGAGGGAACTAGCAGTCTAGTCAAGGAAACAGACAGTGGTAACCCAGTTCACAAACCCAATTCTCTCTATAATTCTGGTTGCAAACTGAACTGGACAAAAACAGAATCAAATTTCCTCATAAGAAAAGCATTGACCCTAACCATGGAATTTGATTCAGTTCTTGTCTGAATCAGTTTGTGACCAGAATTCTGGAAAGAATCCAGTTTATGAACCAAGATACCACTGTACATTGGTTTGGGTGGGGTTGGCCAGAAGTAAACTAGTCTTAATTCAAAGGTTTGAATCTTAGTAAGTTTATTTGAAAGAGAAACCCATAAAGCACCAAGAGGAGGAGTCCAGAGAAGTGAGATATAGAAGGGAAAGAGATCAGTGTAATACTACAGGTCATCATTGCTTCACTGAGGGTCAATCCTGCTAGAGAAGTCTAGGAGACAGTCTACCAGGGATGGAAAACCTTTTAGAGCTTTCAATGCAGCTCTAAGCCCACTGCTGAGTGCATGGCATAGGTTCGCCACACTAGACTGTAGGCCACACCTCAAGTCAAGGGAGAAGGAGTACGTACCAACTCCTGTTCTTGGCTGAAGGTTGTTTCTAGGGGATGCTGGCCATAATTCACTTCTGGCTTGCCCTTACACATGGGCTGTGCAGTTCAAAACTTTTCTGAATGACTTTGCTGCTTTTTGCAGGTAGAAGCTGCATGGCATACTGTATGACAATAGCGAACTCCAAGAAGGTGACTGATGGTCTCTGTTAAAGATACAAAAATTTTAAAAGCACATAAGCAATTAACCGTTCACCAGTTTGCTAAGGGCTTTAACGCTAATGTTCAGTGTGCTGTCTGGATGGTCAGGAAAGGCCTCACTATGCAAGTGGCAGGAAAGCCATTAGATGCAACTATGAATAAATAACAAAAGGATGAAAAAGTAGCTTAAAGAAGTTAGGGTGAGGAAGTTAGGAAGGTTCCACAAGGTTACAAATGTCAATGTTCCTTCCAACTCTGTACTTCAGCTCAC